TGCCACGCTCTTTGCCATGTTTCCTGCCAGAATCTTGCTATACTCCTGCCACAATCCAGACCAAATTCCCTTCCACATTCCCTGCCATGCTCTTGCTATACTACTGCCATGCTCCTCATCATGTTCCCTGCCACGTTTCCTGCCACACTCTTGCTATACTCTTGCCACAATTCTTACCACGTTCCCTGCCACACCCTTGCTATACTACTGCCACGCTCCTCACCACGTTCCCTGCCAGGCTCTTTCTATGATCCTGCCACATTCTTTAAAATGTTCCCTTCCATGCTCTTGCTATACTCCTGCCGTGCTCCTTACCACGTTCCCTGCCATGCTCTGGAAACATTCCTTTTCATGATCTTGCCATGCTCTCTGCCACGTTCCCTGCCACTTTCCCTGCCATGCTCTTTGCCACGTTCCCTGCCACTTTCCCTGCCATGCTCTTTGCCACGTTCCCTGCCACTTTCCCTGCCATGCTCTTTGCCACGTTCCCTGTCACTTTCCCTGCCATGCTCTTTGCCACGTTCCCTGCCACTTTCCCTGCCATGCTCTTTGCCACGTTCCCTGTCACTTTCCCTGCCATGCTCTTTGCCACGTTCCCTGTCACTTTCCCTGCCATGCTCTTTGCCACGTTCCCTGCCACTTTCCCTGCCATGCTCTTTGCCACGTTCCCTGCCACTTTCCCTGCCATGCTCTTTGCCACGTTCCCTGTCACTTTCCCTGCCATGCTCTTTGCCACGTTCCCTGCCACTTTCCCTGCCATGCTCTTTGCCACGTTCCCTGCCACTTTCCCTGCCATGCTCTTTGCCACGTTCCCTGTCACTTTCCCTGCCATGCTCTTTGCCACGTTCCCTGCCACTTTCCCTGCCATGCTCTTTGCCACGTTCCCTGCCACTTTCCCTGCCATGCTCTTTGCCATGTTCCCTGTCACTTTCCCTGCCATGCTCTTTGCCACGTTCCCTGCCACTTTCCCTGCCATGCTCTTTGCCACGTTCCCTGCCACTTTCCCTGCCATGCTCTTTGCCACGTTCCCTGCCACTTTCCCTGCCATGCTCTTTGCCACGTTCCCTGCCACTTTCCCTGCCATGCTCTTTGCCACGTTCCCTGCCACTTTCCCTGCCATGCTCTTTGCCACGTTCCCTGCCACTTTCCCTGCCATGCTCTTTGCCACGTTCCCTGCCACTTTCCCTGCCATGCTCTTTGCCACGTTCCCTGCCACTTTCCCTGCCATGCTCTTTGCCACGTTCCCTGCCACTTTCCCTGCCATGCTCTTTGCCACGTTCCCTGCCACTTTCCCTGCCATGCTCTTTGCCACGTTCCCTGCCACTTTCCCTGCCATGCTCTTTGCCACGTTCCCTGCCACTTTCCCTGCCATGCTCTTTGCCACGTTCCCTGCCACTTTCCCTGCCATGCTCTTTGCCACGTTCCCTGCCACTTTCCCTGCCATGCTCTTTGCCACGTTCCCTGCTACTTTCCCTGCCATGCTCTTTGCCACGTTCCCTGCCACTTTCCCTGCCATGCTCTTTGCCACGTTCCCTGCCACTTTCCCTGCCATGCTCTTTGCCACGTTCCCTGCCACTTTCCCTGCCATGCTCTTTGCCACGTTCCCTGCCACTTTCCCTGCCATGCTCTTTGCCACGTTCCCTGCCATGCTTCCACTATATTCTTGCTGTACTCTATCCACGCTCCTTACCATGTTCCCTGCCATGCTTTTGCCACATTCCATGCCACATACTTGCTATAATACTGCCACGGTCTTACTATACTGTCACACTCTGCCATGCTCTTGCCACCGTCTTGCAATACTCCTGCCATGCTCCTGCCATGTTCCTGCCATGATCTTGCCATGCTCCTGCAATGATCTTGCCATACTCCTGCCATAATCTTGACACACTCCCAGGCACACTCTTGCCATGTTTCCTGCCATGCTCTTGTCATATTCCCTACCATGCTCTTGGTATACCCTTGCCACATTTCCAGCCATGCTACCTGCCACACACTAGCTATTGTCCTGCCATGCTCCCACTGTGCTCTTGCTATACTTCTGCTACACTCCTTGCCATGCTTCCTACCATGCTCTTGCCATGATACCTGCCACTCAGCTTCCATGTCCCTGCCACTCTCTTGACACGAACTGGCCACAATCTTGCCATGTTCCCTGCCATGCTCTTGCCATGTTCCCTGCCACGTTCCCTACTAAGATCCCTGCCATGATCTTGCTATGCTTCCTGCCACTAACTTGCTATAGTCCTGCCACACTCCCTGCCATGCTCTTGCCATGTCCATGCCACAATCTTGCCATGCTCTTGCCATGATCTCTGCCACAGTATCTTCCATGCTCTTGGTATACTCCTGCCATGCTCCTTACCACATTCCCTGCCACAGTCTTGCCACATTTCCTGTCATGCTCTTAGTATACTCCTGCCATGTTTCCTGCCACGATCTTAACATGATCTTGACATGCTCCCGGCCACACTCTTGCCATGCACTTGCTATACTCCTGCCACATTCCCTGCCATGCTATTGCCAATCTCCCACCACTCTCCTGCCATACTCTTGCCATGCTCCTGCCACTTTCCTACCACACTACCTGCCACAATTTTGCCACACTCCCTGCCATGATCTTGCTATATAGTCCTGCCACGCTCTCTGCCACGCTCCTGCCATGATCTTGGTGTACTCTTGCCATACTTTTTGCCATGTTCCCTGCCACACTCTTGCCACGCTCTTTCTACACTGACATGCTCCCTGCCCCTCTCTTGCCACTCTCCTTGCCACACCCCCTGCCACACACTTGCTATAGTCCTGTCACACCCCTGCTATACTCTTGCCACATTCCCTGCCACCCTCTTTCCACATACTTGCTATAGTCCTGCCATGCTCCTTGCCATGCTCTTGCCACACTTTCTATACTCCAACCACGCTCCCTGCCAGGCTCTTTCCATCCTCCTGCCATGCTCCTTGCCACGTTCCCTGCCACACTCTTGCCACACTTTCTATACTCCTACCATGCTCCCTGCCAGGCTCTTGCCATACTCCCTGCCACACTACTGCCACGCTCCCTGCCATGCTCTTTCCATACTCTTGCCATGCTCGCTGCTGTGCTCCTGCCATGTTTCTGCCACACTTCTGCCATGCTACCTGCCATGCTCCTGCCACTTTCCATATGAAGTTACGTACTGTTATTTCAAGGTCTGTGAAGAGTTTTGCTAGGATTTTGATGGGCATTGCATTCAATCTGTAGATTGCTTTTGGTAAAATTGCCATTTTTATTCTGTTACTTCTGCCTACCCAAGAGCATGGAAGATCTTTCCACTTTCTAGTGTCTTCTTCAATTTCTTTCTTCAAAGATTTAAAATTCTTGTCATACAAGTCTTTCACTTGTTTGGTCAAAGTTACTCTGAGATATTTTATGCTATTTGTGGTTATTGTGAAGGGTGTTGTCTGATTCTTTCCCAGCCCTTTATCATCTATTTTATACAGGAGGGCTACTGATATTTTTGAGTTAATATTGTATCCTGCTACATTACTGAAAGTGTATATGAGTTGTAGAAGTTCCTTGGTAGAATTTTTGGGATTGCTTATGTAAACTACCATATCATCAGCAAACGGTGAGAGTTTGACTTCTTTTCTGATTTGTATCCCCTTGATCTTATTTTGTGGTCTTATTGCTCTAGCTAGGACCGCAGACACTATATTGAATAGATATGGAGAGAGTGGACAAACTTGTCTTGTTCCTGATTTCAGTGGAATCATTAGGAGTTTCTCTCCATTTAGTTTGATGTTGGCTGTTGGCTTGCTGTATATTGCCTGCTCTATCTTCTAAGTGATTTAAATTGTTATAATTACACAATTCCTCTATCTCCTTAAGTAATATATAATTTTACAATAGTATAGCTAACCAAACTTTCTTTTACCTACATTGGCATGGAATCTTTTCTAACACTTCATTTTTTAACCTTCTTGTTTCTTTAAATCCAAAGTATTTCTTGTAAAAATTATAACTAAAAATTTTTTTAGTGTATTTGGGTCTGGAAGATGGAGCTGTGAGTAAAGACCTAACTTGAGTTTGATTCCTAGGACCCACATGGTGGAAGGAAAGAACTGACTCTTGCCAGTTGTCCTCTGACTACCACCCTCTACACACACACACTAAAGGCAAAAATGTAAAAAAAAAAAAAGTATCCATTATGTTCAACATTGTATTTTAATGGAGTAATCTTTTTATAATTACTCAAAAGAGTCACTTCTGGATTTGTATATCCTTTCTTTATCCTTCATTAATTTCTTTTGCACTTTGTTAATTTTCTAAAAAAACATTTAGTGTATATTATTATTGTAGGTTCTTTGTATCAGGGATTATGAGACTGAGTTGAAATTTAATAAAATTCTCTCTTTCCTTCAAAACACAAAAAGAGAGAGTGGAGGGAGGGAGGGATACACACACACACACACACACACACAGAGAGAGAGAGAGAGAGAGAGAGAGAGAGAGAGAGAGAGAGGGAGGGAGAATTCCCATAGAAACACAAAACAGGAAATTAAATTCACTTAAATTCCAAGAAGTCACTTCAGTTGGTGGAGGTTGGAATAACAACAATCAGTCTCCATGTCTTCATTTCAACAATCTGAGTTGAAGTCTACTTAAAACATAAAGCCACAGTACATTACGGACAAAACAGTTATTGATCAACCAGGCTTCAATAAACTACTTCAAAAAACACAAGCTGTAATCAAGCTGTAATTTCTAGATACCTGCTAGAAAACTCAAAGGGAGATAGGTAGGTAGTTGACACCACATGCATAGCTACATTTAGCCAAAATTAACAGCAGATTCTAGTCAGACTCTCCTGAAGTTGTAAAGATTGAAATACTCACTTCAGATGGTTTTTACTACATAGCTACTATGCAGCTAGAAGACATGTTCCTGCTGCTTCTTATCTTGCAGCCCATCTTTGTTTGCTTATAAACGTTGACATATTGTATGTGAATTGATATTTCAGATTTATTCAGGGATGGTTTTGGAGAAAATCCACTTTTCTACTGCCTAATTGCTGAAGCACCCAGTCAACAGACAGAATTGGGTAAATATTTTTTCTCCAGTTTAATCTAAAATATATTTTCTGTATCTGAAAGCAGAATTAACAGCTAATAAATACAAAATGTGTAAATAGTATTAAGCACAGGAGTGCAATATGCAAACCTGGTATACTTTTAAATAATTGTTATGCCACTCTGCTTATAAAAGCATTAAAAATTATAAGAATGCATATCTAATCATACTTTCTTTTAAATGCTATTTTATAAGAAAAGTATTTTCTACATTATAAATTTATGTACTGATAATTTGTCCAGCAACCACTTATTGCTTTAATAGTTAAAACAGCAAATAAATTTTTAAATTCTATTTGAAGACATATAAATTTTTGTGAATGAAAGCATTAGACTTTTTGCCCCTTTCTTCTCCCCAGAAGTAAATACTATTGGATTTGCCATGTACTACTACACATACGACCCCTGGGTTGGTAAAACGCTTCACCTAGAGGATTTTTACATCAGTGAAGATTACCAAGGTAAAACTACAATCAGTAATATTTACAAACATTTAAAAGTTTCTAAGTTCCATTTTAATATAAAGACTATAGATAGGATTTTAAGATATTCAGATAACTAATTTTTATTTCGTGAAATGGATCAGGATCCTAGTACAGTGAAGACTCAACTACAAGTTAGAAAGTACTTCAATAGTATTCATCGAGTAAGCTATGCTATCTCCAACTGCTATTTTGATCTGTAATAATAGACATAGTTAAGAAATATACCCCGTTCTATGAAAGCAGTGATGGCCAGCCTGGTGACATAAACCTTTTATTCCAGTATTTAGAAGATGTAGAGGAAGGTAGTTCTCTGTGAATTCAAGTGCCAAGTCATCCAACTATAGATGGTGAAACCATTTCTCAAGAAGAAGAAAGAATACAAAGACAAAGATTCATTTATTCACCATGGATTTTAAGATAAAGCTAATCTCTTCTGTATTACCATTGTCGCCATGTTCCAATAAAATAAAAGATAATTTAAAGCATTCACGAATTCAGTTCCAACACATGATATTATGTATATTTCACAATATATGGCAACCATAAACAGAGTTTGATCTTTTATTGCTTTAAAATTAAATGACTACTTATGTGAAAAACTTCAATTTACAGCCTTATTTAACAATGTCTATTTCATAGGTCTGGGTATTGGGGGTGACATGCTGAAGAAACTAAGTCAGGTATGTATTATAGTTAGTATTAAGAGTCTACATGTTATCCTTTTCTTCATCAAGCGTTCTTTAACAGGGCAAAGATTATGTAACTAATCTAACTAATTAAGTATAACACCAGGACTTGTTCATTTGTAAAGTGCTTGCCGTGTAAACATGAGAATCTGAATTCAATTCTCAGAACCCACATAAAAAGTCAGGAGTGGTGATACACACTTTTATGTCGGCAATGGCAAGGGGAAAGGTAGAGACTTGGAACTTTTGTGCTCACTGGCTGCCACCCTAAGCTACTTAATGAAATATCAGGCCAGTTAGAGACTTTGCCTCTATCAAAAAGTGGAGAGCACCTGAGGGATAACAGCTGGAGTTGCCCTCGGCTCACCACATGCATGCACACACATGCATCCCAAACCCATATGAACATGTGCATTCACATACACAAAACATTTTTGCAAGATGCATTTCAAATATTTATTAAAGTGGATCTTCAAGTTGAAAAATCAGATTCTGTAAGTTATATTTAGTTAAATTTTATTCCTATATAATGTACACACTATATGTGTTTTTTACCATCAAGGAGAAGTAAGCATGAAGGAGAGTAGAAAGCAATTTTACTCATAAAATAGACCCACAATGTGACTCACAATGGTATAAAAGATTCTTCTTGTCCTAAAATACCCATAGTATTTTGAATTATTATATACATATAGTATTATATATTGTAGACAATGACTATATTGTCAAATAAGGACAATATTTATTTGTTTTAAAACAGATAGCCATCAACACCCACTGCAGTGCCATGCAATTTCTTGTCGTCATTTGGAATCAGGATTCTGTTGAGTACTACAGTCGCCTAGGGGCTTTAGACCTTTCCTGTGAGGAAGGCTGGCATTTGTTCAGATTTAACATCGAGGATCTCCTGGGACTTGCAGAGGAAGAATGAAAACACCTAGTAACAACTCATCCAAAGATAGGCCTCAACGTTTGAATGTCACCTTAGAAACATCGCTTTGACATCAAATGTTGTTAAATAAAGCAAGTGAGCAAAATACTCTTGTAGATATTTGGCTTTACAGATTTTTCAAGATACAGTCAATTCTTCATTATCCAAACTAAACACTAAAGTCTAGTAAAAGTTCTAACAATCTAATTGATTTCATCATTCAAAAACCACTTACACTGGACTTGAAGTTTTTAGTAACTATATTTCATGAAATGTACAATGGTGTTATTTTCATATTTTAACATAATTGAAATTAAGGTAAGCACAATTCTCAAATGGAATTTTCTTAAAGATTTAGGTTTTATATGTGATGAAGTATGGGTATATGTAAATAGAAATAGGTAGGTATGAGGTTTACAATTCATTTCCTATAGTGATGCTAAGTTCTGAAGACATTACTTATGAAAAGCGCATGATTCTTTATCTTGAGCATTCAGTACCATTGCCTCTTTGCTACTGTTCCATAAGTAATTCCATCCCTCAACATCTAGAGCTCTTTGGTTATAGTTAGAGAAGATATCACATTCAACACTTTTATTTGTATATGTTTCCATCCTTCCTGGTACAGTTGCTTTATAAAGCTCCAAGTATTTTGGGATTATGTAACCATCTAGAACTATCATAAATGGGTGAGTTCCTGATATACATCAGTCATACCCACAAAGGATATTTGCCTATTAGAAAATACTTATTTAAAAATTTGTTTGGTTTATCATATTTATATATACCAAGGACACGGGGTTGCAATGAATTAATAAATTCTATTTGGAAGATGGAAAAGGTGACAGTAAAATTATACTTGAAAGTTAGGTAGAATGTAAGAATGTAGAGTGAAACAAGACAAAGGGGTGTACTGAGAGAAAATAGCACAGGCAGAAAGAGCAAACATGTTCATTAAGCAAATGGAATGTCATAAATGTACATATGAAGGAAGGTGTCTAAGAAGCAAGATTAGAATTAGAATATAAGATAGTAGTAAGTTTTCATTTGACTCTATAGACAATGGTAAGCTACCGAAGTTTTCATTGACACATCAACTTAATAGTCAAAAAGATGACTGTCACAAAATGAAAGATGAGCTTTAAGAATCAGGGAATATACATTTAAATCAAACTCATTCATTTCTGAACTTTGATATTCTGCCTTCCTCACCACGAGTAAAAATACTCATTTTCTACCTTCCTATAGTGAAGACTGTGGCTATATGGGTTCTGGTTTAGTTATACACAGAAATCTGATGAAAAGGACTCAGGTGTCCTTTTTGCACACTGTACACCTGTCCTATGTCTTCCTATTTTGGATATGTAACATGCTCCCTGGAGGTACAAGTTATCTTGTGACTCTGAAATATGCTAAGGAGATCAGTGTGGAAAGTCTTGATGTCACCAAGGAAATACTGTATTATACCTACACCTGCAGCCAGAAGCTTTTATCTGTCTAGCTTGGTTCAGTTTTTCTCTGGCCTGCTGGTCCCCATTGCTATCTATAAAATTCAGAGGTTTAATATTAATTATAATTTCTTGGCTGATTGCTCAGGCTTATTACTGAATAGCTCTTACATTTAAATCAACCAATTTTAAATAATCTGTGTATCACTACAAGGCTTCATGGCATTACCTGTTCTCTAGTACATCTTGTTGTTCCAGCAGCTCATTGGCATTTCTCCAACTCTACCTTCTTTTGGCCTATATCTCTGCTTGGATTTCCCACATATCTATATTGTACCGTGCCCTAGGCCAAAACAGCTTTATTCATCAAACAATAAAAGCAACACATATTGGCAGTGTTCAAAAGGACATCCCACATCAAATGCCACCTTATTTCTGGTTTTAAATGTATTACTTGTTTAAGCTCTTTACCTGGTTCACATGCAAACAAAACCCATCTGAAGTAAGGTTGACAGTGTGCAGATTAGCCAGTAAGTTATTGTGATATCAGGAGAGTGAAGATAAAGATGTAATAAGAAAATGATAGAATTAGGAAAGGGAGAAAAATTGATTTGAGAATAAGAAATTGGGAAAGTATTTAGTTTTAGACACAATGACATTGAAATACCTTTGAAATGTTGGATCGATATAAATAGTCATTAGAAATATAGGTTAGTCTGCTGTATTAGAAAAAGACTGAGGCTATAATATGAATAGTAACTTAGAAATGGTGGCTGAAGCCAGAAGCTGGTAAAATAAAAATGAAAGCATATCGAGAATGAGATAAGATCACAAAGAATGGAAGCTGAGAAGTCTCAGGCTTTGAAACATTTAGAGCAACAGAAGCAGGAAGAGTAACAAGAAATGCAGGGATAACAGAATACAAAGGAGGAGTAAGTCTCAAGAAGGGAATGGTGAACACTGATTAACAACCTAAGAATTCAAGTAAACATAGAAGTTATGAGGTTCCAAGTTCAAGAAAAGTTAAAAGAGAGGAAGCTAGACAAGAAATTGATTACCCTTCTCTATATAAAAACTAAACTGATTACAAAAGTAAAATTAAAAGGATAGCATAAAACTAGTTGTGTATCTGGCATTGTATCTGAAAACCTAATGCATCAAAGCAGCTCTAATTCTCAGTGAGTTCTCAGATGTTCTTTGAGTATCTTGGTTCTAATTCTACTTTTAATATGCTTAATTCTTGAAATTGTTGTTTACAAATGTAGGTGCTGTCACAAAGCAATGTCATGAATGGTGCTATCATGAAGTGAAGGATATTGGAATTTAAGAAAATGGGACCTATAAGTCTATTAAAGAGAAATGAACTCTTTTTTCTTTAAGATCAGTATCAAATTTCAGCTCCATGCTGACCATTGAAAATGGTCAGGGAAAAATTATGTTGACTGGAAATGGCGTGGCAAATGCACAAAAAAAAATATTTCGCAGAAGCCTTAAAATCTATGAGCACATTCTTGTGTTAAATTTAAAAAGCAAGGTTACATAATTTTTGAAGATCAGGGAACTATGTATAGCTAACATGACAACATGGTATAATTTCAGTTTCTTTCGGAACACTGTTATAATTTGACAACTTGTACTGATAAGTTGATTTTTACCTTGAAAATGCATGTGTGTGTGTGTGTGTGTGTGTGTGTGTGTATAACTTAAATAAGAAGTTAAATACCTGAAACTGCCAAGTCTGTAGTTTTCATTATCAAGTTCTGGCATGAATTTTGTATGTGATATCATAAAAGACTTGATAACGTCTCAAAAATCACATTGTTTTCAACATTTGGCCTCGAACCACCTTACTTCTGAAAGTAAATACTGCCATGTCAAAATCAACATTTTTAAGGAATTTTTGTTAGCTGGTGATAGTTTAACCCTTTGGGTCTTATAATATTCAGGTTTAAAAACTCAAGTACAGACTGAGCAAGTTGTATTTATATATTTAGGAACACACACATACACAGACACACCAACATCCACACCCACCCATACTTGCATAACAACTAATGAAAAAGAGGTCATCACATTGACAGAGAGCAGAAGGGATATATGAGATTTGCAGGTAGGAAAGTAGAGGGGTAACTATGAAAATTATAATTTCAAGATTGTTTTAAATAATTAAAATATATTTTTATTTTTCTCTGCTTTTAATTTTTTGAGATTATAATTACATCAGTCCCGCTTTCCTTTCCTCCCTCAAAATTCTCCCATGTACCACTCCTTGTTCTTTTTCAAATTTGTGGCCTCTTTTCTCATTAATTGTTCTTACATACATATACATATTCCTTATATGTAAGTCCAAGCTGCTCAGTCTGTATAGTGTAACTTGTGATTTCAGGGTTGACCATTTGGTATTGGATAACCAATTTGTGCGCTCCTCCCTGAGGAAGACTATTTCTCCTGCTCTCATCATCCTTCATTGCTTGTAGTTCTTTGGGTTGAGTTGATACCTTCTGGGCTTTTCCCTACCAGTTTGCCATGTCTACTGTTTCCTTGTTCCATGCATCTATACAATGTATTCTGACCATATCCATCCACTACTACTTCTCCAACTCTGCTTTATGCTCTCTACTCAATCTCCCTCCTAACTTCACATCACATTATTTTTTAATGCTGACTCTAATTAATGCTGCTCATATGCACATGGCTATAGGCCATCCAGTGGGGCTTGAGCAACCTACCAGGGGCCACATACCCAATAGAAAGTGACTATTTGTTAGCATCATTCAGTGGGTCATAGCTCCTTGGATAGGGGGTAGGACCTCAACATTGAGTGGCAGGAGCTCTCCTATCTGTGCTGGAATTTTGACTGGCTTGATCTTGTACATGACACTATCCATTTTAAATACTTAAAAGTGTCCATGAGTGTACATGTTAGTGTATACAATAATGTGTGAGTGTGGGCACATCTATACTACAAGAATATGTGTTGTGACCAAAACTTGAGACACATTTCTTGTTCTTCACTATTGCAAACATGAGCCTAGCTACCCCAGAAACTTCTGAGGGTCCTCCTATCTCCACAGTCTTCTTGTAAGAGGGTAGAAACATTGAGATTACAGAGGTGCACTGATACACTTGGTATTACTTGGCTTCTAGAGATTTAGACTCAGGTCTTCATGCTTTCATGATAAGCCTTTGTCCCACTAGACCATCTCAGCCCCATTTTAATGACTGCACATACAAAATCTCTTGGTGTGTTATGCAATGACACTTCATGAGATAAGCATTTGAGGAAGTAATTTCATTGTCTTGTATTAATTTTAGAAATTCCTGTCTTTTGTCCCCCACTGCTGGGACACTGTCAGTTACTATACTAAATATGTTGACACTAGATAAGGAAAATTCTTTTAACATATGCATTTCCACTTCATATCTCTTTATTTAGGTTTACCCTTGAATGTCCCTAAAGAAGTCATTTCTCCAATGAAATTATATTTGTCATCAGTTCCATCATCAACATATCAAATTCAACTACATCTGTAGTATGAGTGCTGTCATCCA